ACCTTGCGCAAAGTAGATACTTGATTCAAGATCCTTCCGACCACCTTATCCGTCTCGTAATCTTGTACCTTCGCCTTTACTTGTTTGCTTCGCCCTTTTTTAGCTCGAGTTGTTGTTAAGAGAACTTATTCCCTGGCCAATCAATCCAAGGATATCACTTGATTAAATTATGTAACTTCGCTTGGCGTCGGGTGACCAATAATCTAACATAGAAGATAAGTGTACCCGTTTACTCAAAAGCAAATTGAACTTTGTTTAAGGTTGACCAAGTAAACCTAAAAATTTCCTCCCTAGGCCTATCAGTATTACGACTTTCGAAGCCACGCGTACCCTCTTCAGAAAATCGCTCCTTTTAGCCTATGTGGTTTACACCAAGTGTGCCCTCTCAATCACTTTAACGTAACACACACCAAAATCGTATGCAAATGAATCCTTCTCGCAAGATTTAATCGGGACTGTGGGACCGAATCGGATGGTAAGATCGGATCGAGATTGCGAGATCGAATCAGGAACGTGGTATCGAATTGATACCGCAAGATCTAATCTAGATCGCTTTTAAACGACGTAACCATATCAGCGTCACTACATACATCTCCCTTGTTTTACCCGATAGTGAGCCACCCGTCCCAGCTAGTATTCTTCCAATCATAATCCTTTCGGACTTGAGTGATGCATGTAGTCTATGGGATACCACGACCCAACCAAACGGATAATCTTGTGGTTGCTTAAATACAATTGCTTGGCCAAGTGTGTGCACTTCAGGTGGGCTGGGCGAGTCTCGACAGTTCAAATCGAAATTCCGTTAACGGTTTATACATTAGCTTGTGTCTCTTCATTAATATGCTTACACACGATACAGCTCAAGACATATCGTTTGTGCCGAGCAAAATCTTGTGTATCACGATAAGCCTGCTCAGGTTGGAGAAATGGACCCGAGGCCCTACTTCGGCACGAATCGTAACTTTACTTACGTCTCAGCCTCGCCTTGACTTTATAGTGAATTTTCGCAGAAATTAGTAGTGAAGATTGGGCCCTGAGATTTTTTTAATATACCACGCCTACAAAAGGCAGACATGATCAAGCTCACCTCCTCTAATTGTACTCAATTTTACATCGGTGTCAGGCTCGAATAGCAATTAAATCAATTAATTTTAAATAAGAAATAAATGCACGTAATAGGCCTCAAGCAGCAGCAAGTAGCGGAGCTTTTGTCTAAAATTGTAGACTGTTAATGAAGCAAGTGTATGATAGCTTAAACTTTCGGGCAGATTGCTTAAAACATCTGAATATCCTCTTGGCTGCGCTAAGTGTATTTTCACATTCATACATTAACAAGGTGTGACCACATCCCCAACAAAGAAGACAACTCGGTATTGACGGCAGGGCCACCGATGATGGACCTGTTCGCCAGACAGAAGTGAACTTGAAATCGCTTTTATAAATAAAGGGTTCGCACGTAGCTAGGATTATTTCTATATCGACCATTTTCCATGGTGAAAGTGTCCGAGATCGTCAGAAGAACCACGAGGCGGTACCAAGTAATAATGCCTCACACTTGTATTGCACACAGTAGAAGCGAGTGACCGAGATATCACGTACCGGTACGTGTAGAGAAGTTATATATACTATCAAAACGTTTGAACAAGGTAATTATAGAAAGTATATAAATCTGTCAAGCCTATCAAATAATATGTTCATTCTATAATTGCGTTATCTATATACGAACATGAACAGCGTAAATTTGCTAGACACTCATTGTACGTATTTATCACTGGTTAGACGCTACGTTGATTAGCAGACGTGACTGAACATCACCTTTATCCTTAACATATAATTTTATTTTTGTAGGATAGCCTTCGCATCGACAATTATTATTGTCACTCGTGTGTAATGAGCTCGCCCCGCTCCGATGTCTACGCTATCACGCACCATGATTGTACTATTAATCAATTGTCTCAGAAGCTCTCTTATATCGATGTGTGTGCTGCGCGCGCAAAAGTACGTCGGCTCGTATAGTTTTTGCGGTCGGACTTGCTATCCATCTGCCCGTAATGCACGCATTAGCACGCATGTGGTAATCTTGAAGAAAGAACAACGCCCATCACCAATTGTTTCACGTAGTCGAGGTAGCAAAGGACTTGCACCTCGGCAGCAAAAAATTAGCAGCATCATTCCCAACTGTTAGAGTAGCCTACCAAACAGCGACTTGTCCAGCCGCAATGAAATAGTAGACGTTTTGTTATGCAAGGATTTGTCGCGGAGCGTATATATGTCTATTCCTATATGTGCGCTTTTCAAAAGAATTGCTAAGTGCGCCATAATTTAAGTGATCATTTATGCAGAAACTTTCGACACAGTGCAAATGCTGTGGTCTAGGGTGCACTTATTATCAACCTCAACAATACCCAATTACATTTAAAGGGGCACTAACAAAGCAACATCGGCATGTATGCCTTTCTCTTTTTACGCAGTACTTGATAAACGTCAAGGCAAGAAGTCGATGATTGCCCTCTTTAGCTCAGCAGCTGAGTGATATAACATCTCAAATGTACCCTCCTCTCTCATGTCACTTCATCAGCTACGATTCACTGCTGCTGTTGTTGATAGTGTTCGAAAACATGACCGGCAATCATCTCTTTATCTCTCAATCAGCTTTGTTATAAATCAGCAGAAATGAGATGAACGCTCGTCACACGACGACCATGCCACCCAGTATATGTTACACCAAGAGTGAGCAAATTTGCACCAGCCGCCAATCTCATGCACCCGAATACGATTACGACAACTCGATGTTTTTCCTTGTATGGAAGACACCTATCTAAATGCGAGTACCACAGCTAGTCCATGTCTTTCTGAAATTCCTTAACTTGTCGTTGTCTGGTAAAAGAAATGCTGATCGCGTGAACTCGTGTGCGTGAGTGATGCAATGGACACATTAGCATCTTCTTCTGCAAGGCGCATATTGTCTCGTGCCGATAATTTGCATGATCTGGATCGGCTAGTCCAGCAATATTTTTGGAGCTATAGCATTTTTCGTAACTCACGGTATATTTTCATTCAAGCTACTTATGGCATGGTTACAAACGTGTAGTATGTAGACTCACGGATAGAGTCTTGATCGAATAGCTTTACAAATGCTACAATCTCAGTCACAAGTCTCCTAATTCCGTCGCCCGATACAATATATGTGGTACGATACCGTACGTCTTCTAGTTGCTGAGCTTCGATGCATTATGCCATCGGCGACGAAAATAATGGCAACAGTATCTATAGCTTTATCACAGGACGAAGGCTGTGTCCATATCGCTACCGTTCTGTCAAAAGGCATCTTTTTGAAGCGTTTTGACGTGGACTACCTCTTCCAATGCATAAATTTGTCATCTGCGTAGGCAGCTAGATACCAAGAAGCTCATTGAAGAGACCACGCGGCTTGGTGGATCCTGTGACACTCCGAGCTTCCTGCATCATGTCTGAAGTGGCTACAGTGTGGGTTGTTTTGCTACTATAAAATAGCTACCGCTTTATCACTCTATAACTTGTTTGGGCTTTCAGAAACGTCGAGTACTGCGAGATTAGTGCATACCCGTTTCTTAGCAAAGAAGACGGCAGTCCGAACCCGTGAGTCCAGATCAGTCAAAGCGTTGGCAGATGCGGCATGCACTAGTGCCTTGCTGTTGATGACGTGACTTCGCTAGCTCTTTAATAATTGTTTTGGACATCTCCACTTTGAGGGTATTAAAACCAATCGTAACGCCCCTCTGATCATCTTAGCTATCCAAACGATGTCTCGCTAAGAGACTGACCTTCATCTCAACTGTATACTGATTGCTGCTAACTTCCTATTCGCAAACAAAACGTGCTTTTTCATGGCATTCAAGAACGTCTCGGTAGATACAATCTATAATTAGCGCACTAGACCTACGATACAAGCGACATAAGCGACTTTTCCAAGAACCCACAACCCGTTTCTATCCAATCTATCGATTCGTCACGACACGTACCGGCAGTTCCACCCCCATTCAGCCACTTTTCTTTGCCTGCTCGACCGCCTCTTTCTTGTTCCGGCATAACACATTCGGCAGTTTCGATATCGATCGTTCCTTCGTTGGCATATTACGCTTCGCCACGCATTCATTCACTCTTTCCGAGCTCTCGGCCTTAGACTACGCTTTCGTCTTCGGCTTAGCTTGGAGCAGTTTCAGATCGTCCCCCACCACTTTCCTGCAACCTGTTGCACAGCAGCCTTCCAGCCCTCGGCCTTGACCTTCTCCGCTCCATCTTTCGTCCTTTTCAGCTCCTCTAGCCGCTGGGCGCTGCGCTTCACCTTCTCAGGATAACTCTAAACACCACTTTGTCCCTGACGCGTTGCGCGCGCTTTCTTGTCCTGTTCAAGGCCGTCGTCCAGCTACAAACTGCCATATCCTTCCTCGCTTGTCCACCGGCGGTTGGCTCTTCTTAGCTGCTGTCTTGCGCTTCTTCAATGCGCGCTTCTCGGCCACGACATTAACACGCGACGGAAATTCTACTTCCGCCTTTTCCTTTGCTTTGCGCTGCTCCCATTACCACGACTGACCCGTTTTGGTGGACAAGTAACGTCTTAATTTGTTGTACTTTTTTGGCGTTGCCTTTTTCCGAAACGATTCAACGTCTGTGAGCACGTAAGTCCACACACGCTGGAGAAAGGTCGCTCATATTACAGAAATGGCAACCTTTCCCTTGATATGTCAAGCGTTGTATCACACTGCGCGGCGCTCTATGCGTCGCCGCGTGTCGCCTGCAACAGTTTGCGGCCAGGCGACATAGTGCGGAACAGTCATTGAGGTCGTCTTCGGATGCGCTTTCTTTGTTGACTCACACGCAGCATTGAATCCCGCTGATTGGCCGAAACCATGACTCGAATGCGGAATGGCCCTTCTTTCGCACGTTTCCGCCGCCCTCGGCGCCACGTTTCCGATCGCCACCGTATGAAGCAGTGCGCAATTCCCCGCCCACGCGCCGCCATGAAAGCGCTCCAGTTGCTCGTTGCGTGGACCACGTTCACGACCGTTTCCTGCGCTCTCTTTGTAAGTGGCTCACAGAGTCAATAACGAGCGCCTCGACACGCTGTGGCGCAAGAGCTGCCTGGAAAGATATCGTTCCTGCTCGTCTGACCCATTTGCATGTGTGCGTCGTGGTGCATCTTTGCTCTGGCTATAGGCCGCGTACATGGCGTATGTGAGCCGACAGGTGCGTGTACAAACAAGAGCACAGCATCTGTGTAGACAGTGTATACATGATGATGATGATGAGGAGGATGATGAAGATGATGTGTGTGTATACAAACCAGCATGTCTCTGATAACGTGCTGCTGTAGGTATACCGGATCATGTACCCGACGTTCGCAGACAGCCCCAACACGTTAGATCCGCTGTGGGGCCAAGGCCAGCCGCTGGACGTGGCACTGTACTTGTCCTGTCGTCCGCAGTGGGACACCGCCAACGACTTTGCTGCCAACACTGTGCGCGTAGGAGCACTCGAGTCGCTCACGTTCGACTGGTCGAGCTCGAACGCCCGACATCTCGATCTCAATCTCTCGCGCTCGACGCTCACGCACTTTGCCAACGACCCTGTGCTCGCACACGACGTGTGGACGGCGCTGAAAGGCAACGCCTCTGTCTTCCTGCACGTCCACGTGACGCACGCGGGGTTCTCGCCGGACCCGGAGGTCGCAGGGCACTACGACCAGTACCGGACCTTCCACCACGTCTCCAGTCTCGTTCAATATGCTCCCAGTCCAAATGCAAAGAACGCGAAGCTGTTACTGGCCTCTGTTCCGTCGGCTCCGAACGTTTCGCAGGCGACGACAGAAGACAAAGCCACGACGATCGCTTACTGGAAATCAGTCGTGAGTTTGCGCCTGGTGACCGATTTTCAGCGATATCCTGTCGAGGAACTACCGCTGCTCGTGTACCAGAACTTGCGCTTCGTACAGCATCCGATGGACCAGCGCTGGCGCTATTTGCCAGCGCTGTACGTGGACGATCTGTCGCAGACGCAGGACAAACTCGTGCCATTGAACGTGTCGCTCGATGACGGCAGTGGAGGCGATGCCGTGCTTCCATTGCAACTCCGTTGGTCTCCGCTCTCGTTCGCGCGTTGGCAAATGCAGCTCACATTTGCCAGTGTTTTTACATCCCAGGAAGAAATGGGTGTGCCATCGAGCGATTTAGATGCGCTTCGCTCGATGGTGACCGACACCCACCCACTGCTTCTGGCAGCTACATTGGCTGTGTCGTTGCTGCACTTGCTGTTTGACTGGCTTGCCTTCCGTCATGATGTGAGCTACTGGCGAGCGAAAGGAGACGACGTCGTCGGCGTGTCCCTTCGCGCCATGGCAGCGGAATTGGCGTCGCAAGTTGTGGTGCTATTGTATCTCGTCGACAACGACTCGACGTTGCTCGTTACGGGTCCTCAGCTAATCAGCGCTGTACTACTCGTTTGGAAAGTAACAAAGGTGAAAAGGGCGCAGCGGCAGCAGCTTGAGCACGAGTTTTCTTCCGAATCCGGTGCTGTCGAGGAGAAGGATCATATGATGCGAACGAAACACAGTCTTCAACTGCTGAAGGAGACGCAGCACGCCGACTCGCTGGCTACGTCTCACATGCTGTTCGTACTCGCGCCTCTAGCTGCGGGATATACCGTCTACTCGTTGCTGTACATCCCACATGCTGGGTGGTATGCTTGGTTGCTCGAGTCCGTGACTACGACGGTGTATGCGCTGGGTTTTGTGTTCATGCTTCCGCAGCTTGTCATCAACTACCGGCTCAAATCTGTGGCTCACTTGCAGTGGCGATTGCTCGTGTACCGTGCTCTCAACACCTTCATTGACGACTTGTTTGCCTTTGTGATCAAAATGCCGACGCTGCATCGTATCTCGTGCTTTCGCGACGACATTGTCTTCGTAGTGTACCTGTACCAGCGTTGGATATACCCTGTCGATGACCAGCGACCGGGAGACATTGCCGACGGTGCTTCCAGTCTGAAGAACGACGCTTTGACCAAGCCCCACGATGAGTGAGGTGTGCCTACATGCTCCTGGGCTGCGTTTTTTGGCGTCCTGCTACCCAGAATCGTGTTTGCGAGTTGACATTTCCTGGTGCCGAGGGACGCCCTCAAGGACTATTTGTCGTCATTGGTACGTGATGTTATACGAACATGCGTCGCATGTCGCTATCGCAAACTTTGGTCGTATGACTTGCAACGCAATTGGTAAATGCAGTTTTGGCGAAGCACTCATGATGCTTTTCTGACAAGAGGAAACAAAAGAGGTGCACCATATGATAAAAAATTGCACCAGATAGTCAGAAATCGAAAAATGCATCGAGAAATCGAACTTACAAAAAGGCACTCTGCCATGCTCGATTCAGTTCTGATATCGGCCATTACACACACTAACTATACCAAAATCGCGAAAGTGAGTCAAAAGAGGCACATTCAGACACTTAGATAACGACTAAATTCAGCTCAACTCTGTTGATGTGTGCACTGTCAATGCACGGTCAACAAAGCCAACTGTGATTTGCTACGCACAAGTGACAAGACAGCGATGATACGACAGGGTGTAAACGGTTCACGTGCAGTCTGATGATTCTAGAACTACCTTGAGTGTATGTTCTAGAATCCATCAAGATCAGGGAAAGCTACAAGGTAGAAGAAGATAACACGACGAGTAAGTTCATAGGAAAACTAATTCAATACACTTTCCAATTTTCCTTCGACATAACAGGTTATGAGCCCAAGAGCTTAAGGACCTCTGCCAGAAGCCAGTACGATGAAGAATCCCGATGACCTGCTTGGAACAGACAACTACTTCCATTGGGAATTCAAGATGGAGTATGAGCACGCGATATTGGTAGAACATGAAGACGCTGGTAACAAGTGGGAGCTGTGGCATGCACGAATGGGTCACATTAGCCACAACAAGTTTAAAAAGACAAAGGAGGCTACGGAAGGACTACCGAATGTAGTACCTGACACGAACAAGAATTTGTGTGGAGGGTGTCTACAAGGGAAACTGTGTGTCGCGAGTTTTCCACAAGAGTCGAAGACAAAGACAACGCAGCCACTGCAGCTTATTCACTCTGACGTCATGGGCCCTATGAAGAACCCAACTCCTGGTGGGTCACGATACGTATTGTCTCTCGTGGACGATTTTTCAAGATTAGTGACTGTATATTTTCTGAAGTCCAAGAGTGAAGTACTGTCGAAGTTCATTGAATTTCGGACCGAGATGGAGCAGCAGTGTGGATTTCGTATTAAGGCCATACGTACTGACAATGGCGGTGAATACAAAAACAAGAGGTTTGCTTCGTACTGCAAGAAACACGGCATCATCCATCAGAAGACAGTACCCTACAGTCCTCAACAAAACGGTGTTGCTGAACGGATGAACCGTACGATTGTTGAGACGGCCAGAAGCATGATGCATTACAAGCGGGTGGCAAAGAAGTGGTGGGCCGAAGCTGTGAATACGGCGGTGTATTTACTTAACAGAAGCACGAACTGCAATCACGAGGAGAAGACTCCTTTTGAACTGTGCTTTAAGACGAAGCCCGAAATTTCTCACCTACGTGTATTTGGTTCACTTGGATACGCACATATCGATGACTCAAAGCGCACGAAATTCGACGCGAAAGGGTTTCGCTGCATGCTGTTAGGATATGCAAGACACACCAAGGGTTACAGGGTGCTTGATCTGGAGACTGGTACGATCAAGATCAGTCGTTCGATCGCGTTAGATGAACGTGAAGTTAGTAACATTTACGAAGACAATCCGGTTGTACCACACCCGAAGATGATAATAATACGACAAGATGACGATGATGGAGATCAACCAAGTAACTTGCAACAAGATGGTGATGAAGATGTTGAAATGGAAGAGCACGAAATTGTCGAAGATGTGGAGATGGAAGTACCGAGTTCTGACAATGACATCAGTAACACACCTTCGAGTGAGACAAGCAATCATTATCTTGCAAGAAATATGAACAACGAACAACATCAACACACTTCCCAAGTAATTCAACAAGGACCTCGTCACCAAGAACTCGAATTACACAATCCGCACGACTCTGGAGCGATGGTGTTCCGTCCACAACTTAAGCGTCGTTCCGGTCGCGAGCATCAGTATCGTGTTCTTACTGACGATGCCAGTGGGAGAAGTGAATCCGGACCACGAGGAGGTGTTGATGAAATGCTACCAATTGAGCAACCTGTTCAGCTCTTGTTGGAAGACAATAACACTAGTACCACAACAGAAAACAGCATTGTGCCATACAATGAAAACCATGAAGCCAGTGGGAGCCAAGATGACGAACCTCCTTCCAAGCGATCGCGAATAAACAGCGATGTGGCATTGATAGCAGAAGTTGCCATGATAGCTCGTGATTTACCTGGCTCTTATGCGGAGGCAGTGAATGGACCTGACAGATACCAATGGATTAAAGCTATTGAGAATGAATTTGCGGCTCATGAGCGTAACAAGACGTGGACACCAATTGTACGCAAGCCTGGAATGAAACCAATTGGATCGAAGTGGGTATGGGCTAAAAAGAGTGATGGTCGATACAAAGCACGACTTGTGGCGCTCGGATTCCTGCAACAATATGGTATCAACTTTTTCGAGACGTACGCGGCTGTCGCCAGTATGAACTCCATCAGGATGCTATTGTCGATTTGCTGTGCAGCAGGATATGTGATCGACCAGCTTGATGTTGATACGGCCTACCTGAATGCCGACCTACAAGAAGAAGTATACTTGTTACCACCCAAAGGGATGAAAATTGGCAGCGAGTTTGTACTTAAATTGAATCGCGCGCTTTACGGACTTAAGCAGGCTGCAAATGCCTGGAATAAGACGATTCACAATGCATTACTGGAGATGGGATTTGTCGCGTGCGGTGCTGATCGATGCATATACAAGATAAAGGATGGTGAAGGCTGGGCGTAAGTGTGCTTATACGTTGATGATATGATTGTGGCTGCAAAAGAAGCAACCACGGTACGCAAGGTGAAAGAACAAATCTCTCAGCGGTTTCAAACCAAAGACCTTGGTCCAGTGAAGCACTTGCTTGGAATGGAAGTTATGTACGACCGAAAGAAGCGTGAGATGTTTATTTCGCAACAAAGATACATCGAGGAGACTGCAGACATGTTTGGACAGACTCAAGCCCGACCAACTGGTAACCCATGTGATCAGAGCATGAAACTGTCCAGCGCAAACAGTCCAAAGTCCGATGTCGAAAGACAAGCCATGAGTCGTACACCGTACCGCCAATTTCTGGGACGACTGCTGTTTATAGTGACCACGACCAGACCAGACGCAGCATTTCCTGTGAGCCAACTTGGACGATTTGCAGAAAACCCTGGCTCACAACACTGGAAGGCACTGATCAAAGTGCTAAGATACCTCCGCTCGACGAGTGGTTTTGGATTACACTACAGTGTTGACAAACTACAGCAACAACTAACAGCGTATAGTGACGCCGATTGGGGAAACAGCTTGGACGACCGTCGATCGGTATCTGGTGTTTTGCTGGTGCTTAATGGAGGCCCTGTTATATTTAAGTCTAAGTACCAACGCACCGTTGCATTGAGTACTTCTGAGGCTGAATACATGGCGCTAAGCATGTGCACTCAAGACATACTATGGGCAAGGATGTTAATGGCTGACCTCGGATTCGAGCAGAAGAATCCTACTGTCATCTACGAGGATAATCAAGGAGCCATTGCTCTCGCAACAAACCCAGGATACCATGCGCGGACTAAACACGTAGACATACGTCACCACTTTGTCCGAGAGAAAGTTCTGGCCGGTGATATAAAGGTGATCTACAAGGAGACGGAACATCAACTTGCCGACATACTAACGAAGGCACTCGGCACCAAGCGATTCCAGTACCTCCGTGCCGGAATGGACATCAAGGTACGTGATGGACCCGAGCATCAACAGTGAGTGGGAGTGTTGATGTGTGCACTGTCAATGCACGGTCAACAAAGCCAACTGTGATTTGCTACGCACAAGTGACAAGACAGCGATGATACGACAGGGTGTAAACGGTTCACGTGCAGTCTGATGATTCTAGAACTACCTTGAGTGTATGTTCTAGAATCCATCAAGATCAGGGAAAGCTACAAGGTAGAAGAAGATAACACGACGAGTAAGTTCATAGGAAAACTAATTCAATACACTTTCCAATTTTCCTTCGACATAACAAACTCTCCCTTCTACGAAGCGTGTTCGCTTAGTAGACGTACCTTTTTCGTCACGTACAGTGTCCGTGAGGTTTCGAGGCACCTGACTACACTGTGGTCGGTGTAGGCAGCTTGTACTATGTCTGTACAAGCATTAGTGCTTCTTAACACTTATTGCTAATCTGTTTACCAAGAAAAGAAAAGATATGATGATGAAGTTACTCATGACGATACAATCTCACAGCAAAGCTACCAGCGTGCTCTACCAATCCTCGACGCCGCTGCTATAAAGCGCTACTTCAATGAATACGAACTTTTCAGGCAAAGACTAAGATGTACTTTTTAGCGATCGTAACATCAACCGCTCCATCGCGTCTTCGTCACGGTGACACGCCCGAATGTGTTTCGAAGAAACGTCCACGGGCAGATCGTAAGCGAAGCGCTTGGGACTGATGCCACGAGGATGACGAGGCAGCATACAGGTGTCGTTTGTGATCTCTCTGCCGACACCTGACCAACGGCTTTACTTGAGTACTTAAATAACGTCGAGGCGTCTTGGTTTGTTAGGAACACTATATGTATTCAGTCGTGCTAGCTCAATGCTATGGATCTACTGCAATCTCAGCCTTTCTACGTCTGCATTCATCCAATAAACATTATGTGCCTTCACTACACACCTTTGTCCTTTGACAGCTCCGAGAACATCTTTGCAAGCGAGAACATTAGCCCCAATTCATATGTGTCAAACGATTGAACGTATTTCTTCAATATGCGCAGCTTCGGGCCCGACAGCTCTTCCTCTTTTTCGGTCTCCTTCAGCCGAAG